TCGAGTCGGTTCCGACCCATAGCGACCCTGTACAGGGTTTCCGAGGGTGTAAATCCTTACGGGAGTAGAAAGCCTCATCTTTCTCCCGCGGAACGTCTGGTAGTTTCGAACCGCTGACCTTAAGGTTCGCAGCCCGATTCGTAACCACTACGCTACCAGGTAGAGGACAATAAATGCTGGCGTGGATGTGGAGAGACTGGAACACTCCTGCATTGCTGGCGGGATTGCAAAATGGTCCAACTCTCTGGAAAGCAATATGGCACTTCCTCAGAAGGTTGGAAATAGAAATACCTTATGATCCAGCAATTCATCTACTTGATATTTTACCCACAAGAAATGAACCATAACACGAGTAGATATAAACACACCAGTGTTCAATTTTACAATAGTAAAAAGATGGAGACAGCTTAAGTGACCATCAACTGAAGAATTATGGAATATTATGCTATCTTGAATAACAAGGAAGCTGCAAGCCACTGCATAACATGGACGAACCTTGAGGATATTATGTTGAGTGAAATTAGTCACTAAAGGAGAAATACTGCACAGGACCACTACTGTAAAAGATTAAGAAAAAGAACCCATAATAACGAAGGGGGGTGAGGGGGGGGCATTCTTTGCTGATTACCAAGATGCTAGGGGTGGGGGGAGGGAGGGGAAGGTGGAGCACAGGGTAGGAAATAGGCACAGGATAGTTTGGATGCTAGAGAGGGGGTGAATACACAAGAAGGGGGAGGGGAATGGAAGAACAAAGCGGATGGGAAAACAACTAGGCAGGTTTGCATGGGCTAAGTGGGACAGAGGTAAATAATGATGTATGCACAACCTTGGAACAACAGGGCTCTGGGATACAAGAAATGGTTGGAATGCAGAAAAGGGGGGAATAATGTTAAGATGCTTGACTGTCTTTTGAACATTGGTTTCCTGTGCATTATAAAATAGACATTTGAAGGGGAGAGAAAGGAATAACCAGAAATACCACCATAGAAAGCTTGTAAGTTCATCTTCTGCCTATAACTGATTGGAATACCTAAAATGGGGCTACAATATGCCCAGTGAAGGAGGCTACCTGCAGAGACCCTGCATTGCATAATACCATAGGTGGAATCCTGAACCACATCCAGAATCTTCTGAGGTGGGAAATTTCCACTTGAAAGGACGGGCAGACCAGCCTGGAGCAGCTAGAAGAACAGAAAATACTTCTTGAAAGAAAGACTGGCAGGAAAAATACAAAACAATTTTGGCAGACCAACTGATTACTACAAGAAAGCAAGTTGCTCGCCCAGGAGAATCAATGCAAGTGGTCGGGTTCCCTTAGGGCAAGCCCCCTTCCAAGACTAAGACTCTGTGGTAATACACGCTCTGGTTGGTGACCACATTCATCACCGATAAGGGGAAGTGAAGGAAAACAGCAATAAAGCTGCGAGCTAAGCCCTACAATGTTCAATAGACTCCTGTGAACCCGGGTAGAGACCTGGTTGTCCAGCAGTGTGGCAAGACCTGGGGACTCTTGGGCCCAGAATCAGTGACACAGCCACAGAGGACTAGAGTGAAGCATCCAGCTGATAAGAAGGATACCCACACTTGCAGATAATACCCACTTGACCTGGCTTCAATGACTGGACGATCAGAGCTCAACCAGAAGAAGAAAGAAGAGGGAAAAAGGGTAATCTGATATAATTTGATGAACTTGACTTACACGTATGGATGCTCCCTCAAAAGAGGGGACAAATCTTTACAGTGAAGATCATTTCCGCCCCCTCCATACACAGAGTAGACAGGGGCAGACAACTGTCTGTCTGGGTGAGGCTGATGAAAGGAAATGTGGATAGGTCTCTTGTGATAGAATATTGAATAATTGTTATCAGGACTCATTGTGAGGGTTGGCAATGTAAAGGTAGCAAAAGGAGGGGAGTGTTTGACTTTGTAGTCTAGGAGCAGAGGTGCCTGGGACCATCAAGGGAGAAGTGCGGAGAATGGGACTCTGTCCAGAGAAGAAGTGACACCAGAGATGGAGGCAGAGATGATGTGGAGAGATGGAGCGGCTGGGGACTCTAGACCCAGAGAGGGAGAGAGGCTGTGTGCTAATGACCAGGGGACAAGCTTGTAGTGTATATACCCTTTGGTTGGCTGATGATGCATGGAGGGGATTGTAACCATGGCAATGAAACAATATATGATAGGATAAATGTAAAGCTAATGTTCTCCCATGTAAACTATCACATAATTTACAATAAACCATTAGAAAATGTATTTCTAATCCTGTTAGCATGTAACAAAGCATATAGATTCATCAAAGAACTCTGTCAGTTCTACATCATTTCCATTAAAAGAATTTAAAGAATAAATCTGAGATATAATCATATGGAATAATCTCTCTAGCAATACTGAGGTCTCACATGCAAGCCATAACTAGATCTTACCTAAGGACTCACTGTACATTCTTTCACTTCCATCCAGCTCAGAGAGAACATAATCACAGAGAAAGGCATGGAAACAACTCCAGTTCAAGTGTATACGGAAAGAGAAATCTTATCTTGTGAAACAGTCCCAGTATCCACATTGTATTTTCTTATCAATAGTATTTCCTTTTTTCCTCCCCTTTCAACCTAACTCAAACCACATCTCTATAAAAACTTGTTTTGGTTAAGTCGCAATTCATCCAGAAGTGATTAATAATAGCCCAGCACTAAATTGTACACAGAATACTTACAACCCCAGAAATATCAGAATTCAGGGGAAAATGATTCCTTTAAAAAAAAAAAAAGTTGGGGGAGGGGGCAAAAGACAGGCCCACTGTTTTATTAAATTTCAGGTTCAAATTTTACATTTACTAAGTTGTTATATGCCAAGGAGTCGATTCTGACTCCTAGCAACCCTCTACAGGGTTTCCGAGGCTATAAATCTTTACAGGAGCAGAAAGCCTCATCTTTCTCCCACAGCACAGTTGGTAGTTTCGAACTGCTGACCTTGAGGTTAGCAGCCCATTTCATAACCACTACGCTACTAAAAGTAACTGGAAATGGAGTCCTGGTGTGGTGCTGTAGGATAAGCACTGGGTGCTCACTGCAAGGTCAGCGGTTCAAACCTACCAGTCACTCCTCAGAAATCCTACACAGGGTCACTAGGCGTTGGAACCAACTCAATGGAACTTAACAACAACCACAACATGTAAAAATCCTTCAAAATTGGTCAGAAAACCTAGAAGTACCTAACTGATTTATTTATATTAACCTGTAAAAGTGTTCTGGGGGCTGGCAAAGGGGAGAGTGAATAAACTGCATACAGAAAGATTCAGAAGTTAAACCATCAGTCTAGAAATGAGAAAAGGGGTGTGTATGTGTTCCATCATGGCATTTTTTTTGCTAAATTAAAAGCAATTAGGTTTCTAAGACTCTTTTTTTTGTTAAATTCTGTTCCCGTAAAGATTTGCAGCCTTGGAAACTTTATACAGGGTCACTGTGAGTTGGAATGTGAATGGCAGTTAATAACAACATTCAAGATGCTAAGTTCTATCTTCAGAAATTAATATTTTCCTGTCATCCCAACCTACATCGGATCTGTCCGGCATTAAGCACCTACTGAGCAGCACTTTTTCTTCTCTCACAATGAGTGAACTAAATATAATTCTAATATTTCTAAAAGTCTTCCTAATTGACCAGTACTAGAGAATAAGCCATATAGAGAGACATTGTAGCATATTTTAATGTGTAGTGGTTTAATCTACCAGTCGCTCAGAGAGAGAAAGATATGGCTTTCTGTTCCTGTAAAGATTTACGGCCTCAGAAACCCTAAGCAGGGTCGCTGTCAGTCGAAACCAGCTCAGTGGCACACAATGATAAGGAGCGTAGTTGTACAGGGAATCTATAAAGCATATAAATCAATAAAGGAAAATTAGGCATCATAATTCAAAAGACGGGACAAAAAGAAAGCATGTGAGAATGTAAGTTAGAGAAAATATGGCAATATCTAGCAATATTTTAAATGGTCCAGCAGTTTCAAATATGGATACACCTGCAAATGTATATATCCAGAAATATAAATGTGTAGTAAATGCAAACATATACACACAAAGACATAGCTGTTTATACACACATACAAGCCTATTTCTGCAGTGTTATATGAGGAAGCTCAAAAAGTTTGTGGAAAAATGATATTGAAAGATAATGGAATGTTTCCATGATCTTTCTGAAGCCCTCTCATATATAAAAGCAAAAAGCAAAAACAAAAAAATGGTGGGTTGAACGCAGTGATATCCATACATGATTTTTTGAGTCTGATGTTTTGAATCTTTTTTACAGGATTCTTACTGGGATGGAGGGAACTAGTAACAATGTCTCTTTAAAGAGGAAAAAAAAATTATATTAAATAATTTTAACCTAGGAAAAACACAAAATTAGATATAACAACAAAGAAGTCAGTTTAAAGCTTAACTAGAAGCCTGCATGATACACAGAAAATGTCTAATGTCTTAATTTACCAGACTTCTATTTTCCTACAGAATTACTCTAAATTAGCACGGTCTGGGTAAAGGCTGGAGTCCTGGTGTAGCACTGCAGGATAATGTACAGGACCACAAGGTCAGTCTGAAGCACAAGGTTGGCAGTTCAAATCCACCAGCCACTCCTTGGAACCTATATAGGGCCGCTGTGAGTAGGAACTACCTTGACAGCACTTAACAACAACAAAAGGCTGGTGCATACTGAGGATCGTGATGGCCTGGGCCACCTAAGGCAAGAAAGCATCATGGAGATAAGCAAAGGGGAAAAAATCTTACCTTTAACGGTTTTCACGAATGCTTGTTTTTCCTTATTTGGATCTTTCTCATCTATTAAAATCCCATGTAAAATACGTCCAAAGGTACCTAGAAAAAATTTAACAAGATCATTATATTTTAAGTATAAAACTTTCTGGTACAAAATATTTTTTTTAAAAACAACACACAACAAGGGCATATGTGATGTACAACATTATGTACTCTAGTCCCAGAGTAAAAAAGCCCCAATTTTTAATAATTGCTACAAAGTTTTTAATGATGACTACAAGTTTTTGTTGCTGTGAAACATCTTGACTAGCTTCTAGAAATACCATATCTAAACTAAGTATATGAGAATTCTTTCTGTGCTAGCCTAAGTAATCTGGATAGAGCCAGGAGTGTAGGAGTCCGGTGACGGGAGGCATCTGAGTTTCTAGACTTAGCTGCCCAGAGCAATGCTGAAAGGAGAAAAATGAACTTTTCTCCCTGCTGTTTGTTGCAAAGCTTCCAAGGGTAGCTGCTTCAGGAAAAGGTCATGAGGCACAAGTCCTAGATTCAGGCAGTCTTGGGTTTCAATATGGGCTCTACCACTCACTACTTATAGTGGTTTGGGCAAGCTGCTCCACTTCTCAGATCAGTTTTAGGTACATATTGGTACAATATGTATCTAAAACCTGTTTATTAGGAAGAGAAGCTATAACCTTTTGGGGGGTGGTGAGGAGTAGTTAAAAGTGAACTATGAAAATCCTTACTGGTTTCAATTTATAAGGTATATAAACACTCCCTAATGAGCACTGGTGGCACAGTGGGTTAAGCACTGGGCTGTGAAATGCCAGGTCAGCAGTGTTAACTCACCAGCTGATCCTCTAAAGAAAGATGAGGCGGTGTGCTCTTGTAAAAGACTTACAGTCTCATAAAGCTGAAAGAGCCATTCTACTCTGCCCTATTGGGGCGCTATGAGGTGGAATCGACTTAACAGCAGTTGGGTTAACACAGATGATCACTGAAAAATAAATCTCATTTTATTATCTTTTTCTCAATGGAAACTTTTTACTTTCCTTCACAATTTAAAAGATATGCTTGCAAAATTGCTTTGCTGCAGATACCACACATATGGAAGAGGCTGGCTCTAATGGCTTTCACTTTTAAATATGGAGTTGTTCAGGTTCCACTGTGGCCCAGGGAAATACAGTACCTTGGAAGTGTGAGGCAGGAAAAAAATGTGAACACTCTTTAAGGCACTATGCTTGGTGGTGTGGTAGTGGTTATGTGCCATGGATACTGTTCCAACTCATAGTGACCCTGCACAGGGCTTCTGAGGCTATAAATCTTTACAGGAGCAGAAAGCCTCATTTTTCTTCTGTGGAACAGGTGGTAGTTTCGAACTGCTGACCTGACAGTTCGCAGCCCAATTTGTAACCACTACGCTAGCAAAGCACTGCACTTAGAGATCAGCAAATATCTTCAAACACACTAGTCAGAAGCATACAGGGAGACTTCAAAACTTCATTTCAAATGGAATGAAAATATTATGGAATTTTTCCATGACTTTTTTGAAACCCCTATATATATCCTGACAATCTGGTGTGAAAAAAAATGCTTGTAAGTGCTGTTTTGATTTGCATTTATCATATCGCCAACGAACTTGACCACTTTCTTTTTTCTTGTTAAATGTTAATTGGCCTTTTCTGAAATCAGCAGAATTTTACACTAAACTATTCTGGGCGTGAAAATATCAAAGAAAACTACTTAATTTGGAGTTTCTCTCTTCTTCAAATCATACCACCAGAACAGAATACTTTTTCTATTCCATTTAGAGACCAAAAGACATTGCCAACAGAGCATATTCTTCATTAATTTACGGCTCCTTTTGATTCTTTGGGAGATGTACATGGTTCATTTACTGTTTTTCAGATTGGAAAAAGATGTGAAAATTAGTTATATTTTAGAAAACAGGCAACCACAATAAGTGCCATTTCTGTATTAAAAAACGGATGAAAAAAATGCTTCCATTAATTACCATTTGTAACTGGGGCCATTTCAAGTCCCTCATTTAGCTGTGATTAGCCTACAAGTAATCTAACCAACAGGTGAGTATGAAATGACTCACTGCATTCAAAACATCCCAGTATGGCAGGAGCAAAAAAAAGTAATTCTCTATTTAACAACTTACAGTATTCAAAATATTTTACTAATTTCCATCTGCTTTCTTTCAGCTTCTCCCAAGTCAATTACCCTCAAAAAAGGAAGCAGGGACCAGAAGAAGAAAGGGTACTGATATTTACTGAGCACCTACAATGTGCAAGCACACTTAATATACAGTATTTCATTTGATCTTTTAAACTAGTCAAAAAGCAGACATTAGACTCCAGATTTACACAAGAGAATTGGACCTTGAAGATGACAAGACACTGGGTGATTTCTCCAAGGTCTCAAACATAATAAAACCGTAGGACAGGGATTAGAATTTGCAATACTTCTTTTAAAACCCCCACAATGTCAGAGAGAAAACGTCTTAGAATATTTCTAAGAAACTTGCTAGGAAATGATAAAACTTTCACTAAAAACTAAACCATAAAATGTACTGTAAAGCTAATAAATCCAATGCTATGTTCTTTTAGAGACCGAAAAATTAAGAAGTACACCAGAGCTCTAATAAGGCAAATTAAAGATATAAAGAAAAGAAAAAAAAATCAATTATGTAAAGGAAATAAATTGGGAAGGGCATTCCACAAGGTAGGATCTTATCTTCTATCCTTATCTTAGAACAGACACTATATGAAATGAAATGCATAAAAATTATTTGCAAAAAACAAATTTATGGTGGTAACATCATTAGGACTTCCCTGAAAAACAGGTTTTAATAAATACCTTCTTGGAGAACATCTTTCAGGGTTATCCTCTCCCTGGATATTGCTATGTCCTTCACCTTGGCTTTGGCCTCCAAAAGAGTGACACTTCTCAAGTCGTTCTTCTCGATCCGCAAGGTAGGATAACCTGAGGAGCCAACAAAGCCAAACCAAGCAATATAAATACCCTTATCATGGCATCAGGGTCAACCAGTTCCTTAGAGCCACCTGTGGCTAAGTCACAGGAACAAACGGATAAGGGAATCAAAGAAAACGGTACTAATATGACTAAGGCGTCCTGGTGTCTGAGAAACACTGGACTGCTAACTTCAAGATCAGTGGTTCAAATCAAAGCCTATACCAGTAGTTTATGGAAACACTTCCCAGCCTCCCACTATTCTACCTCAAAATGTTAAAATGAGGGATTAAAATGAGAAATCCTAAAAATAGTTATACCCAGCAGTTCAACTGCCTTCCAGCCAACTGAAGGAAGTTTTAGCTCACGGGATTTAATGTAATCCCTCTATGGACAGTTTTTCTTCTAAAAGATTTCCTAATATCATCTCTTAACAATAAAATTTTTCAAATGAAGAGGTGTTTAACACAATATGTAGCAAAAACTGTTTGCTTTTATTTTATCCTCCCCTTGCTTTTTTTTAACTTGTTACTGTTGAACACTCTGGTTAGAAGAACAGTATAGAGTAGGGTAAACAGTGTTCTGTCAGGTCATCAGAATCAGGGGGTTGAGTTATTCTAATCAGTAGCCGAGCTGAGCCTGGGTTTTGCTGCTGCTAGCTCTATCAAGCACACTGGACTTCTAATTCCTTCAGCTGTAGACTGCTGCTACCTTGTGGAGTCTTAGTGAAGAAGAATTTTTCTCTATTTTTGCAATCCACCGTCAACATTCAGAAGTCCCTGTACTTTTACACCCCAAAGGGGGTCTGTCTCCATACTCTTGCCTCTCCCCACAGGGTAGCCTGCTGCTTGTTACTTGGTGAGAAGCTCATGGTGAGGTCAGGGCTTTCTCAGTTATCTTGAACCAGTCTCAGTCTTAGGCAGCCCCATGCACCTGAATCTCAGGGACAGGTCTTTTTCAGTATTCTAGTCTCCCTCCTCTACTCCACAGCTATCAAACTCTGCCTTCTATATGTAGAGATCTTGCATTCTTGCATGGGAAAGGAGTTTTCGATGCCAACCCTCACCAGTGGTAGCTGACCTCTGCTTTTCATAGAACACTAGGTCCAAGAGGATTTTCCACCCTTCCTCTAGCATCAGTGGAACTTGAACCCAATGATAATTGCAACATCATCACAGTAGAAAAACCAGGGTTCATGCCTCCTGCTATGATGCAACAGGAAGAATATATACATTCCCACTTATAAAGTTTTTCATTAAAACAAATCTATATCTAATAAAGCCTCTATATATCTAACACTGCTTTACCAAAAGTATGATGCAAGTATAAAACATCCATCCTGCTAGCTTGAGTTCACTTCCTCATTCTATTTCCTTTTTCCTTCAGTTTTCTTACTTAGTTTACATTTGTCTTGTCTGTCAGATTAGTTATTTTTGCAGGATACTGGTACCTTAAATCCTTTCTGGAATACAGTGGGGTATAAATATATACAGTTCAAAGGTCATGTAAAGAGATGGCTTGAAACACTAAAAAATGGTGTTATCAATGGATTGATGCCATGCTTTGCTAACTTCCAGATACACCTACCATTTTCCCAAAATAAATGAGAAAAATGGGAATTTTTTTTTTAATTCATTCAAACTAGTTTCTTATGTCACTCTTTTTAGCACCAGGGCTGCCTCACCTCTAGCCCACTTTGACGAAGCAAAAGAAAAGGGAGTCAGTCAAGTAAGGGGTTCTCTATACCATGGCTCATACCATGTCTGCACATCAGCCAGCATAAGGCTCTTGGGAAGCAACCAAATAGGTAACAAAAGCCACTGATTAAAAGACTGTCCTCTCCTGGAGGCATGAAAAGACTCATCACTGTGGGCCCAGTACTCTGCAAAATCACAGTCTCAGATGCCCTATGATTTGTAAACTGCCAGTCCAGATTCAGGACTTCAAAATGCATGTGTGCTTCCAGAGAGCTGCTCTGGGAGATTCGCAGGTGGTGAGTGTGGCATAGTCTGTGTGACAAAAATATAATAATTATGCCTTAAGACACTTCATACGTAGAGAATGTACCAAAGACCCATTAAGAAGGGAAATGCTTTAGTCTGGAATAATAATAATAAAAAAATACTTATTCCTATTATTCAGTTATTTTTCCCCTATGGTGTCAAAAGGTACCTAAGAGACACATTTTTTTCTACTTCATTTATGTGTCAATTTTTGTTGTCCATGTTGGGTCATAAGTAATTAACACAAGTCAAAATGTTTCAGTGGTCAATTTTCAGCAACTCAACTTTACAACAACTGTAAATTAACCTAATGGTAACAAAAAATATAAATAAATGCATTTGTACTAAGTTCGTAGCATATATAATAAATGAATTATATCCTTCAGGTAATGCTCACAACTGAAACAATTTCTTATTGATAATAACCAAAAAATTCTTTTAAGTAAATAAATATACCCACCCCTCACTTAAAGGAGTTCTGGTAGTGTTGTGGTTACGAATCAAGTTATGAACCTTAAAGCCAGCAATTCGAAACTACTAGCTGTTCTGCGGGAGAAAGTTGAGGCTTTCTGCTCTCATACAGATTTACAGCCTCGGAGACCCTGTGCCGGGTCATTATGAGCTGGAATCGACACCACGGCACATCACAACGACCAGGATTCCTCACTTAAGGAGCCCTGGTAATGTAGTAGGTTACTAGTTGGGCTGCTAACAGCAAGGTCAGCAGTTCAAAACTCCCAGATTCTCTGCAGTAGAAGATGAGGTTCTCTGCTCCTATAAAAACCCAATACAGGGTCGCCATGAGTCAGAACCAACTCCAGGGTACACCACTACTACCACCACTACTCATTTATCAACATGGTTAGGTTCCAACAACCAAGTCATTATCCAAAATTGGCACTGTGTGAGAGACAGGGCCCAGGCCCTATCTATAACACTGAGTACTGCTCACTGGCTGTGGGGTGCTCTGCTATGTCTTGGGATGCACGTCGTGTAACAGGTCCCCCTTCCTCACCACTGTGGAGCCCATGGGGGGGGGGGGATAGAAGTGATGCCATCCCCTCTTGACACCAGCCCTAGACAGGGACCTTGCTCATCCTCTATCCATCCACCTGAGCCCTGCAGCTCCATATGGCCCACTTTCTTTTCCCTGTGGTCTGCCTCCTGTCTCCCTCCATCTACCTCCCTAGTACTTTCAGGCCCTCACCCAGCGTCCTCCTGCCCACTCATGACCTCACATTGTCCCACTGCTGCCTCTTGCCCTCTGTGAATGAACTGAGATGCAAAGGATGAATGGGCGAAGGCACCCCACAGTCGATTGGTCGCCATCCCTTTGGTGGCCTGGTGACTGCCAGGGCCTCTGGTTTATCATTCAGAGTGGTTCATGGAGGGCATACCAGGGCCAAGCATGGCCCCTAGTGAAGCCGAAACCATCAGTTATTGGAAGTGTGAAATGTCAGATTATAATAATGATTGGTCAGTGAGGAATAGGTGTAGATGCAATTCCACTGACCTCTTAAAAAGGTTATTTGGATTTTAGCAAATATATTCACTGATTTACCTACTTCCTTAAGGCCATATTCAGAATCAAGAATAGACTTGACATAAGTAAAGCTTGACATCTAAACATTAAAAGCAACATTGTGCCTTTTCTGAATACTTTTGTATCAACCATCACTTTCCTGATAATAGAAACATACTTTTCTATTTTTCTTTTGTTCATGGTGGTGATATGTTACTATTATGCTGTCTAACTTTCTTTCAAATTGTTCCCACCTTTCCTTTCCTTTCTGTCTCTGTCTGGATGAGGAAATTGAGTCAGTATTCCTGCAGAAAGTCTAGTAGTATCAGCTTCTTTGAGTATCATTTAACATGTTACTCTACGTGCTAAATTTTCTGTAAACTGCAAGTCAGCCTTGACTGATTTAGGATAACTTTTAGGGGAAGGTAGAGGGCACATGGCTGGCCCATCAGACCCAGGGTACAAAATATCTACTTGTACTGCTTTTAGTAACGTTATGTTTCATCAGTTGATTCAGGTAATAAGAATTTGATTCCTTCATTGTAAATGTCCCTACTGTCCTTTATTTTTAGGGCTTTAATTATTGGAGTCCTGGATGGCACTGTAGGGTAAGTACTGGGCTGCTAACCATAAGGTTGATGGTTCAAACCCACCAACCCCTCCTTGGAAATCTTATACAGGGTTGCTGTGACTCAGAAGCAATTCGATGGCACTTTACAACAACCATCATTGATAGCTTTTTCTCATGGGTTACAAATATAAATTTATAACATCCTGTCACTGCCCACTTTTATTGACTGGGCTTCTACTGTAAGGAAATATTCTCTAGAGAAATATTATATAATTCCACTTACATGAAATATCTAAAATAGGCCAATTTAGTGCTTACAGGAGCAGGAGGGAAGAGGAAAGGGAGTCTTAATTTAGAAAGCAGTGTGGTGCTATGGGTTAATGCACTAGACTGCACAGTTGGTTTGAACTGCAAGGTTGGTGGTTCAAGCTCACCAGTCACTCCCTGGAAACCCTCTAGAGGGTTGCTATAGGTTGGAACCGACTTGAGGGTACTTAACAACAACAAGTATCCATTAATGGCCATGGAAAATCTGGCAACAAATACTGGGATGGTTGCATAACATGTTAATGTAATCAGCATCACTTAACTATACATATATACAAAACACTGAGTTGGCAATCATTGTGTTATAATATATATTTTTACCACAATAAGCAAGGGAAGTGGGATAAAGAGAAGGAAGAGAGAAAGAAGGGGGGGAAGAAAGGAGAGAAAGAAAGAAAGAAATATCTTGCCTCATCAACTAGGACTATCTTGTTATTGGAAATGTAGTTACTATTTTAAGATATTTTCAATGCCTTAGTCACCTCTGATAAAAATCATTTTTTATAAAAAAGGTATCATGATAAACTTGAGAATTTTTAGACATTTTATAAGCTTCAATCCATTGCAACTGTTAATACTTTTTGATGTTCAGATTATTTCATCTTTGGCCCGTGGGAACTCTTAGGCTTGGACAGCTTCCTAGATTTCTGGTTAAGCGACATAGGTTTACCTTGTACATTTCCTGCTCCAGGTATGGAATCAACATTTCTTCAAAATACAGCATTACATTGTTTGATGTTAAATGCTGTCAAGTCGGTTCTGACCCATAGTGACCCTGTATAGGGTTTCCGAGGAGCAGCTGGTGAGTTTGAACTGCCAACCCTGAGGTTCAAACCGACCTTATGGTCGAGTGCTTATTCTACCACACCATGCCAGGACTCCATGGCATTACACAGAGGACAGATTATACTTAATCTTGGTTTAGTAAGAGTAAACGCCAGCTCAGAGAAGATAAGAGTTACCTGCCTAAGAAAACCTAAGTTAATCTCTGGCTAACTGTTTTACCTTGATGATGATGTTGGAAAATAAGGGTATTTCTAAAGTAACTTATTCCTCAGTATGTCTACATTATGCCCTAAGAATGATTGTTCTCACAAATATCTAGATGTGTGGGAAAACTTTAATCACAATCCTGTTGAAATAAGGGAACTATGTACTCAACTCTCCAATAATACCTAGCTTCTTACCATCATTACAAAACAATATAAAGTCCTATTGTATAGCCCACAAGATTATGGAAAATCTCATTAAAATCCAAAGTCTCTGTTTTTATACAGCTCAGTGGCTTATTCCATATAAATACTTGAAAACCTTACTTATGAATTTCTGTAGCAGTGATTCCCTAACCCTTTAAAAAAAAAAATGAATCTATAGACATCTTCCCAAGTAAAGATCTAGTTGTGGTAATTCAAACTACTTTTTAATTTCCCAATTTTATGATGCTCCATTCCATGCTCTAGAAAACAAAGCTAGAGAATGAACCTATGCTTACACATGTTAGAATGTATATATAGTATGGTACACATGTGCCTTGAATACACCACTCGTGCAGGACCACTGAGAGACAAGAGCTTGGCTGACCGCACACAGCTTCAGCAAAACAGCTTTAGAATTCAATTAACTCTTACTGGTGATGGGAGTTGCGTTGTTCGGCGTGTCGGCTCTCAGATACTGAGTCGTCTGGGTTGATGGCTGAGACAGGCCTTGAGAACTACTGCTGGCACTAATGCTGCAAACAATTTTTAAGAGAAAAATATTTATCAATTAACTTTTCAATGAAAAAATATTTTTATTAAAAAATATTTTAATTTTTCAATGAAAAAATATTTTTCTATATATCAAATACAAAGTCATTTTAATCAGCCGAAGATCTTGATGGGAGTTACAATAATACATGGACTTCTCACACAAATGTTTCATACTGAAATTATAGTATATCTTATAATGTGGAGCTCTATCTTTTCCTTTTCTTCTTCTGCTAATCTCCAGTATCACTGAGCAGGTTCATTCAGAAATGAAGGCACTAGAACTCAGATACCACAGACAGCAAACCCAAACTTTACACAGCCAAGCCACTTCAATTAGATTACTTTTTTGGAAAAGGAATAGGACAAGGAATAGGACAGACTTCTTTTAACAACTGTCCAAAATCAAAGGGACTGGAAAATGGGGGCCTATGTGTGGTGCTGTGGGTTAATGCGCCAGGCTGCAGAACCATTTGAACTGTGAGGTCAGAGGTTCAAGCTCACCAGCTACTCCTCAGAAACTCTATATAGGGCCGCTATAGGTCGGAACCGACTCAACAGCACTTAACAACAATCAAACTAAATCAAATGTGCCCACATGCACAAAGCTTGGGGAAGGTTATTGGTCCATGTTCAAGTCTGCTCAATCACTTACACTCTGCTTCTTTTGCTTCCCCATCCCACCCTTTTTAGAATTTATGGAACTTTTCAGAAATCTCTGAATAATATAGGAGACCCAGAAGATGGCATGTTCAAGTCACTGTTAATCCTGTGTCCAAGGTCACCACACACGATTGCCTCCCAAACATGTACTTTTGTTTCTCCACTGACAGCAACCCTTCTTTCTTATTCAGGCATGCTCGGGAACACTCCATCCAGCCATTGTAATTTTGCAGCAACGGAGAAGTGAAGCACAGAAATTCATCATCAAGAGTAAAGCCAGAAGACTAAAGCCAGATAATAATAGCAGAGATCAAAATAGTAGAGGACAATAAATGGTGGCATGGATGTAGAGAGACTGAGACGCTCCTGTGTTGCTGGTGGGATTGTAAAATGGTCCAACCTCTCTGGAAAGCAATATGGCGCTTCCTCAGTAGGTTGGAAATAGAAATACCTTATGATCCAGCAATTCCTCTACTTGGTATTTACCCACAAGAAATACAACACATACCACAAGTAGATATATGCACACCAATGTTCATAGCAGCACTATTTACAATAGCAAAAAGATGGAGGCAGCCTAAGTGCCCATCAGTAGAAGAATGGATAAACATACTGTGGCACATACACACAATGGAATATTATGCTACCTTGAAGAATAACAAAGAAGCTGCAAGCTACTACAAAACATGGATGAACATTGAGGACATCATGTTGAGTGAAATTAGTTAGTCACAGAAGGAGAAATGCTGCATAGGACCACTACTGTAAAAGACTAAGAAGAAGAACCCATACTAAAGGGGCAGGGGGGATTTCATTGCTGGTTAACAGAATGTGGGGGATAGGATGAGGGGAGTGAGGGGAAGGTGAAGCACAGTGTAGAGAATAGACACAGGATAGTTTGGTTGCTAGGGAGTGGAGCAATACACAAGAAGGGGGAAAGGAATGAAAGAACAAGGAGGATGGGAAAACAATTAGGCATAGGCTAAGTGGGACAGAAGTAAATAATGATGAATGCACAACCTTGGAACAACAGACTCTGGGAAACAGGGACTGGGACGTGGTTGTGATAAGGAAACGGGGGGAAATAATGTTAACATGCTTCGCTGTCTTTTGAATCTTGGTTTCCCTAGCATACCATTACAAAGTACACACTTGAGGGGGAGAGAAAGGAATAGCCAGAAATGTCACCATAGAAAATTTCTAAGTCATCTTTTGCCTATAACTAACTGGAATACCTAAAACGGGGCTACAATGTGCCCAGTGAAGGAGGCTTCCTGAGGAGCCTCTGCATTACATAAGACTGTAAGTGGAATCCTGAAAAGAATCCAGAAATCTTCAGAGGTGGGAAACTTCGAATTCAAAGGATGGGCAGACCAGCCTGGAGCAGCTAGAAGAACAGAAGATACTTCTTGAAAGAAAGACCAACAGGAAAACTGCAAAACAATATAGGCAGTCTGCCTGATTACTACAAAAACAAGCAAACTGCTCGCCCAGGTAACATCAAGGCAAGTGGTTGGGTCCCCTCAGGGCAAACCCCCTTCCAGGACTAAGACTCAATAGGAATACACACTCTGGTTGGTGACCACGTTCATCACCGATAAGTAGAAGTGAGGGAAAAACATCAATGAAGCTGTGAGCTAAGCCCTATAATGTTCAACAAACTCCTGTGAATCTGGGTGTAGACCTGGATGGCCAAGTCAGTGACATAGCCACAGAGGACTAGAGTGGAGAGTGAAGCATCCAGCTGATAAGAAGAGAGGGCATATACACAAGAACACCCACACTTACAGGTAACACCCACTTGACCTGGCTTCAATGACTGGATAATCAGAGAAGAAAGAAGAGGAAAAAAAGAGTAATCTGATACAATGTGGTACACTTGTGACCTACACCTATGGATGCAGTAGCTCAAAAGGGAATACATCTTTACAGCAAGGATCATTCCCACCCCCTCCATACACAGAGTAGACAGGGATGGGTAACTTGGACATTGGCTACCCAAAATAAGGGGGGGGGGGGGGGGCTACAAAGGCAAGAAGTAAGTGTCTTACAAGCGTTCAAGAGGGAACCTAGATCCAGAGGGCACAGAAGAAGGTAGACTCTCCACTCAGTAGTATCCAATCTCTCTGGGAGGGGCTGATGAAAGGAAATGGGCATGGGTCTCTTGTGGTACAATAGTGAATAATTGTTATCAGGACTGACTGTAAGGGTTGGAAAAGGAGGGGAGTGATTGATTTTGCAATCTAGGAGTGGAGGTCCCTGGGACCATCAAGGAAGGAGAGCAGAGAGCGGGACCCTACCCAAAGAAGCAGGGACGCCAGAGATGGAGGCAGAAAGGAGACAAGACGATGATGTGGAGAGATGGAGCGGCTGTGGACTCTAGACCCAGAGAGGGAGAGGGGCTGTGTGCTGGGGTGGCAGGCTTGCAGGGTCTACCCTCTTGTTGGTTGATGATACATGGAGGGGATTGTAACCATGGCAATGAAATGATATACAATAGGATGAATGTAAAGCTAATGTTTTCCCATGTAAACTATTACATAATTCACAATAAAGAATTTAAAAAAAGAACAAGAATTAAGCCAGATGACAAGTCAGGTGTTCTGTGCCTTCCTTAGCTACCTGATCAATACAGCTTAATCAGAGGATGCCACCAACACTCACATGACTGTAAGAATCAACTTGATGGCAGTGGGTTTGATGTTTGTGTTTATTTCCCACGTGATAGTTGTATATTTTTAAAATTATTGAGTAAAATGTATAATGACCAAGGCTGCTGTGCAGATGTTGTTGTTAAATTTCATCAAGTCAGTTATGACTCATAGTGACCCTGTATAGGATATCTGAGGCTGTACATCTTTGTGGGAGCAGAAACCTTCATCTTTCTCCCATGGAGTGACTGGTGGGCTCAAACTGCTGGCTTTGTGATTCACAGTCTAGTAGTTATCATACAAAGCCACCAGGCTATGCAGACTGTACATTTACATATGAATTTGAATGTTACCAATTTCAAGACCCTACATATACATTTGAAAACTGTACCTATATATCATCCCTGGCAATGAGCACTGTAGATCCCTATGCAGTCCTTCATCCCTCACAATACAATCTGTTATGATAACTGGAGTCCTGGTGTGGTGCTGTGGGTTAATGCAATGGACTGCAAAGTCGGTCTGAACTGCAAGGTCGGCAGTTCAAGCTCACCAGCTGCGCCTCAGAAACCCTATACAGGGTCACTATGGGCTAGAACTGACTCAACAGCACTTAACAACAATATGGTAACTGAAGCACTTCTGAACTGTCATTAATTATTAAGATAGAAATTTCCTTAACAATATTGTCTGAAGATACATTTCAGGTCACAGAGAACATAACAAGGATTCATCACGGGTCATTAGTAAGCATTCTAAAAAATCATTTAAGGCTGGAAGTTATTCAGGAAACTATCTACAGAAGTCGATCCATGTAGTTGGCATGGGACAGCAGAGAAGAAATGGGGAGATTAAACTTGGAAATCAAAACTACCAGCACTATTTACTGGCTATGTGATCTGTTAAAGGCTGTGGAGCTGGTTCTGACTCATTGAATTATTGGTGGACTGCTAATCCTACAGCGCCACACCAGGACTCCTAGGGCAAACTAATCTTTCTGGAGTCTCAAATTCCTTATAGTGAGAATGAGGATAATACAGTGAAACCTGGGAGAGCTGGAACTCGACAGGACTGCCTTGTCTTTCTGGGTCTCTCAAGTTTTCTGTCCTTGTCAGGTGCCATCTCAGCACCTTTCTATTAGTGGAAATTATTTCTGTTCCCCTTCTCTGACAGACCTCTGACTTACTCAGTTTTTCCAGCTTTTGCAGGTGTTACTGTACCATCTGCTGTGGTTTCTAAAAGGATTACACAGAAAAAAAATCTATATATATGTGGAGCTCTGGTAGCGTAGTGGTTACGAATTGGGCTGTGAACCGTAAGGTCAGCAGTTCGTAACTACCAGCTGCGGGAGAAAGATGAGGCTTTCTGCTCCCATAAAAATTTACAGCCTTGGAAACCCTGTTCAGGGTCGCTATGGGTCAGAACCGACTTGATGGCACATAACAACAACAACCTATATATATATATATATTTACACACATATACAAATATATATACACATGCAAAGCATTTAGCAGTGTCATCTCAACAGAGATTTACAAATTATTATTCCTAACTTTTTATTGTGACCATTATGACATATCTAAAACCTCAAAACAAAGAACCACTGGGCAGCTGCTCTGTAGTTCTGACCAACACTCAAGGATCAGACTACAAAGCAAAGTAGAAGT